ATTCTCTTTCGTAGAGCAACATCGGTTACTTCTTTAGGAATTTGCTTCCGAACTTCCTCGAAAACTAAAGCATTGGATGCTTCTTTACCGTTATCCTTTTTTAGATCCTTGTATCGTTTATATAAAACCCCTCCAAAATCAAAATAACTACCAATAACCTCTTGATTTGTAATTATATTTTTAGATTCTGCGAAATCAATCTTATTGAAAAAATATAAATAATTATTGGCATCTCCTCCAGAAACACCCTCTTCTGCGACCTCGATAATTTGCGGAAATTTTTCAATCGATAATAATTCATTGATAAGTTTTTTCAGTTTTAATGAATCTTCTTTATTTGCCTTCTGTTTTTTACCGGTAGCCTTATTAGTAGATGTAGGATCCCCAACACGCTTGGATGGTAAAGTACTTGCAGTAGATGTTCCAGGTATATCAGATTCCATGTTTTGCGATTGATTATTTTCAGATGAGTCTTCCACCATCGTATCTGGATATGATGGATCATTCCCCAAAAAAGGGTCTAATGCTGAATCACCTGATTTATCTATGCTCATACTTTTTCGAGATGACGCTAGTATTTGTGGTGACTTTTCTATGCTTTCGATATCCGCACCACAATTTTTAACAGGACATTTGGTTATAGTTTCTCTAATGTTCTCAAGGCAAAGACGATGGAAAATATGGCCACAAGCTAATACGGTGAATGATTTTCTAAGTTGGTACAAAAAAATTTCGTCATTGCATTCTGGACACGGATCTAGTTCAGGAGTTTCGACACCCTCTGTAATACATCCAGAGGAAGCATTTTTAAGAATATTTAATGCAAGAGTTTTGAGGCATGAAATCTCCATATTTATGAATTTTTTACAAGTTTGATATAAGTCTTCATGGTATACTCACGGGAAATATTCTTTTGTTTTTATAACGTTAGTAGCTTCACAGGTCAATAAATTAGTAATTTCGGAGCAATAATTGTCATGAATGGAATCAATTTATCTCTTATGGACGATCCGTTACCTTTGCCGATCCTAATATTTGTATAATTTCTTTTGATAGGTGGGCCCTCATTCGATGTTAAAAAATAAGCTTAATCGTTTTTATACAACAACAATAGATACCTCTTATTTATTCGTAAAAACAAGAGAAGATCTGGTGATCACATAATAATTGTATTCTACGTAGTGTAATTGGGCAAATATATTATAGATATTTTTTAGTAGAATGTCGATTACCCGCTTTGGAAAATTGGGATTGCATAATTATCATGTATAGAAAGTTTGTTATTACACATATCAATCGTTGCGCCATTTTTTTGCAACCATGGTTTTCCTAACATTAAATCAGGCCCAGGCCAATCTGGTCCAACAACCAAGAATTCAACGGGATCGGTACTTTTATGCTTCCCATCAACATTAAAACTAGTTTGCAGTTCAACCTTTCCTAGTATAGAAAATGATCCATCAGGAGTTTGTAATTCGAGGCTATTGCTTTTATTTACATGATGTACTAAACCCAACTCGTTAATAAATTTTTGGGTAATTAAATCTGCGTTAGCGCCTGTATCAATTAATGTTTCAATAGGAGGTTTTTCTTCGACTGCGCAATTTACAAACAACATTTTGGTTATATTATTATACACTATATCTTTGACCGAGAAAAAAATCAAATCGGAATTAATTACTTAGTCTCTACTACGAAGCACCATTATCTGTAACCCACGATTGTGAAAATGAGGAAGAATAGGCGTACCGACCTGTCTAAGATAATTATTAAAATGATCCGGAGGATTTAAATCGTCATGTTGAATCAATCCTCTTATAAGTGGAGGGGGTTCATCTTCTTCGTTGAAATTATCGATATGAATATTTAGGTTAAGTTGTTTTATAGCTTTTTTACTAATATTTTTAACACCCTCCAAATCAAGGTATTTTAAATTAGGACATGAACGGGCGATTTCTCTGATAGTTGCTTTAGAAATTTTGCATGAACCAAGACCGAGATGCTGAAGTTTAGGACAAGAGCGAATAACATTGCAAATTGATGAATTAGTAATGAAATAACATCTGCTAAGATCAAGATATTCCAATTTATGGCATGTGTGTGCCACCGCCTCAATAACATCATCACCTATATTATTACCGCTTATATCAAAATGTTTTAAATTCAGAGAAGATCTGATAATAGCTAAAATAAGATTATCATTTCGAGGACCCATAAGATTAGCAAAATCGAGATACTCTATATTGAGGCGTTTTTGTATCATCATACTACTATCTTCGATTTCAACACCACTATATGCAATATCAAGACATCGTAATTTGGAGCATTGGTTTATGATGTAACTTATAGATTTATCAGTAATCCCATCTCCTTCGGCAAAGTATAATTCTTCCAAATTCTGGCACGACCTTGCAACTTCAAACAAGGATTTTTGGGTAATTTCCACACAATTAGAAATATTTAGATACTCTAATTTATTGCACAACTTCGCAATTACACATAATGATTCATCGGTTATTAATCCAGCCTCCCGTAAATTAAGATATTTCAAATTCGGATATGATTTAGCTACCATAATTAGTGCTTTATAGCCAAAACCTGCGGTATAATCTAAATCTAAATGGATTATATTTGGACATGAATTCACGATACCTTTGATTTTTTTATATGAAAGTGAATGATAATGCGTAAGTTTGAGGTGAGTTAAGCTTGACCGATAAATTGGTTTTTTATCCCCACATATTATATTTAAAAACTTTTCCAATCGTGTTCGATCTTTTTTACAATAATTATAGTCATCTGGAAAATAATGTCCATGTTGTAAATCATTACCTTTTAACTCAATATTCCGCCATATAAGTGGTGCACTACATCTATACCAAAAGCGGTTAACAAACAAAGCGGTATAGAGGGATTTGTCAATTGCTAAAAAATGTAGAATCAATTCTAATAATTCCGGCAAATTAAAAATGTTAAGTTGTGGCATTCTTAAGTAATGTATATATTTAATCGAAAAATAACCAATGCTCGGATAATTAATTTAGATGCATATATCATTTATTTTTCTGATATTCTCAATCATGCTTAATTTTGCAACCAGCTCATCTAATGACAGGTCTGTTCCACATCTTCTAATGATACCGCATCTGAGTCCTCATCCTCATCTGGGTCTGAGTCTGAATCGTCTAATGATGATGAAGATTTTACTGTAGACGTGGTAGGCGAAAGCCATTGCTCTGCAATAAAAGTGAAGAAGCGCGATTAGTTATCATCATAGAGACGGAACGGTCTTGCTTGCTCTGGAGTCTGTCCTTTTTTCCGATAATTGACTACAACGTAGTTTTGCACTGGAGAAGTATGGTTGTCGGGGTTGTGGCGTAGACATTCTCCAGCAATGGTATATGCCTGGGCCATATTCTCAGGTTCATGTACTACAACACCATAAACTGCACCCATTTTTCGTAAGTATTTAGGAATTAAACCATAATCTTTTAAGAATCTATTGAACCATTTAACTCCTGGCTTACCTGGATCACCCATTCGTCCAGATGATATAGTGCTCTGAATCCAAGTGAGTAGTTCTTTGGCTCGTTCTTGATTCTTTTCCATAGATCTAAATTTTCTAGGAATATCTGGCTGACCCCGATTCTTTGCATATCCTGTTACTCCAGCATCTGTAATACGTAAAGTTGTAAGTTCAGCAGGGCGGATACAAAGCATCACCATAACATCAGCAAGAGCCTTACAATCAGGTAAAGTTTTAACATTATACGCATCTAATCTTTCTTTGACTGATTCTAATGTAAATTCATCTGGATAATCAATTGTTTTAGCCTTTTTCCGATTGTCCATTTGGATTTTGTTAGCATCTTCTGTAATATCTGGGAATTTCGTGGCCTCAATTATATCAAATGATGCACCAAGCTTTTTTAATTCTCTTCTAAGCCATGAAAGACGTGATGAACCAGCATTGGCATTTTTTGCTGATAGGGCTAAGGCATAAGCTTCAGCTCTTATATCCCTAATACTAAGCTTATCTCGTAAAAACCGATGTGCCATCTCTCCAATAGTTTCTTGTAAGACCTGATCTTTCGAAGAATGGAGACTTTGTCTCTTAGAAATAACAATGTTTACTGTAGAACAGGGCACGTTCTCCTTGGTCTTATTTTCGTTTTCCTGGGCAGAGAATAAGGCTTCCACTTGATCCTCACTAAACCCATATCTATTTTGCAAGATTCGTTTTGCTTTCTCTCTGACAATCTCTTCTTCCAAACTTTTTGGAGGCTTGGTTATGGCTATTCTACAATCACCTTCGACAATATTTATGTTTTTGGTTTTACCAGCTCTCTGATTAGGTATCAATATACTTACCTGCTCATTGCTAAATTTGAATCCTTCCCGAAGGCGTCTGCGCGCCTGATTTCTTTTTCTATCATCTGTAAGATTCTCGAGAAACTCAGAGGTACATTGACTAAGTTCAGATAGACTTGTCTTGGAGCTGAGATTATATTTTTCTACGATTTTAGTTGCGATGGCTGACATGGTTGAATGTTTTAATAGGTCAAGTAGTTTATGAATAATTCTTTAGGTTATATACACTATAGAAAATATTTTTTCAAATCGAAATTAATTATCCCAGGTCAGTATATATACCCAAAAATTGAATGGGTAGCGATTAATGTAATTATATTGGGAAATGGATATTAATATGAATAAGGCACGGAATAGATCGAAAGTTTTAGAATCCATAACCCTGCATAATAAAATCACCAAAAATATAGAAGGTATCAAAGAGGATATAGCTTTACTTAAAGAGATCCTGGAAAAAATGATCGGTATGTGTCAGGTACACGATACACGTTAATGCCTTGGTCAGTCCGTTGATTTGAAATTTACCAATACATAAATATAACAAAAAAATTTATAGCTTCGGAGTTGCGATCCAGGCTATATTAATTGGGCATTGTGTTTTATTTTTTAGCACCTATTATGGAATAATGTCACTTCGTGTCTGTGCTTGCTTCGTTAATATAATTCTCAAATGGTGATGGAGGGATCAAGAGTTCTTCTTCTTCCCAATGCACATATCCATCACGTATCAATTTATTATATGTTGGCCCATCGATTGCAATCATGCGATTTGTTTTGGGGTTATAGATTTTTGGCTTTCTCCAACGATTAGTCAATTTGGATAATTGCTCAGCAGTAATCGTTTCTTTAGTATATTCCGGCTCTTGGGTATACATTTTTGTGTAGTATTGGTGTGGTATATAGTGTCAATATATGTTTGATTATAATATTACAAAATAATTTGGAAAAGTTTAAATTGATTTTTATATACTATACATGAAAATATGAGTAAAAAATATGTTAGTATTTATACAGAGTTTTATGGAATATGAGTGGTTATAAGCAATACTTCGAATATAATATATTATTGTAATCTGAAAAGATTTAAATTGGTTTTATATTAAATATATTCTAAAAAGTGAAACGGTTTTTTATACGTTATATATTAAAACACTTTGAATGGGGAATTCAACCTATCAATACTTTAAAAGAGATAGTTCGAGACGTTTTACCTGTCCATATATTAAAAGAGATGGTTCGATTTGCAGAAAAAGTTGCTGGCAACCTGAAGGGTGTTCGTTGCACTGGAAATTATATGAAAAAAATGTGGCAAAAAATTTAGCAAAAATTCCTTGTGGTATCTGCGGAAAAGGAAACAATTCCGGGACGGGATACTGTCCTAAGCATGCGAAGAGGGTTTATTTTCGAAATTGGTATGAGAGACAAAAGGCGCAGAGAATAGAAGCTGATGCATAATTATATAGATCCTGATTTTAACATCACAAAAATGGTCTTCGTAATAGGGTATTTTTTTACAAGTATCATTTTAAGCGTCACAAAAACCCCTTTCACAGATTCTAAATACCCGTTTTAAACGATATCAAATAAGTCCTGAGTATCTTGTGAGATAGAATTGGATGGGGGTTCTAATTCATCGGGTGAGAGTTTACTGTACCCATATCAGATATCCTCACCACTTTCGTAAAAGGGTCCTTCACCCGTTTGATATGATGGTAATTTGGGAGCATCCTCATTGTCAAATGCTCCAACTAGATGGTAATGCGTATTTTTATTATTAGTAGTTTTAAACTTTATCCCATAGATTGCAGAAAGTGCTGAATTTAATAAACCAAGTTTTGCTTTATCCGATTTTAAGCCAGATTTTTTGGCACTACGAAATGCGTCTGTATTATCAAAAACCCGAGCCATTTTTGGTACTAAATTTTGGAGGTATTGTATCGATTCTGGTGAGTTTAAGCGTGTTTTGACATCATTAACTTTATACCTATTTCAATCGTCAATGTCTTTAACGGGTGTGCAAGTCTTTAGTAATTCCAGACAAATTCGATGCTTTTCAGCTTGGGTGACAGTTGTGAGCCTATCATTTCTATAATCCTCACGGGTAATTGCTTCAATCGCTGTCTCATTATCAGTACCTGCATCTCGTAGTTTTCGGAGATTTCTAAACCATTTCATTTCATCATATTTACCATAATTTGTGATAAATTTTTTGGTCAGAGATTCAGGTGATATCCCATAACAATCTGCAATATGGTATCGGCTTAAAGCATATATTTCCCCCAAAGTCTTCTTTGGCTTGTTCTCTAAGATCTTGGCTGATTCATGATTGAGAATATCAGCATTAGCGATGTCTGAAATTTCCTCTGCTTTAATAACTGACGAATTTGCTTTCACTATTGCAGTTAATGATACGGCATCTTCTTTGGGTTTGGGGGTGGCTTTTATTATGGAAACTATCATACCTGCCTTTTTAAGAAAATCAACCATTCTCCATCCAAACAAACGACGAGATCGGAACTTTTCCAACATGTAGGCCACCCATAACCGAACCGATGGAATATCCTTATTTCGTATGATAGACTCTGCATCTGGGAATATTCCTTTATTTTGAAGTTCATGAGGAAGACATTCTTGCTTTGCTTTTAATAACCAGTGGAATAATCCTTCTTCAGTAATTGGGAGATTCGATGCTTTTTGTTCAATATGGCATGTATATTCTTTAATACATCTCATGCAGAATAGCATCTGATTAGTCCCAGCGTTTGTTTCTATATCACTTCTGAAAAGACAAAATGCACGCTCGAACTTGGGGTTAGTACATGAGACTCCTATTTTTAATGTACTCGTATATGCAACAAGATCCACATCCTTCCATGCCTCTTCCACATTGCTAAAATCACAAGCCTTTTCTACTGTATCAGATTTACCATGATATCTTTTGATGTGCAATGTTGGAAAATCTCTTATCAGAGCGCGAGCAATACCTTGTACATCTGTTCTCTGATGGCAAATTAGTGATGCACTTTTTCGCTCTTCATAAGGTAATGAGGACATCACTTTTGCCCATTCCCAAAGTTCAGCTAACACAGTTTCTCTATTAGGAGCTAAGCGGAATGTTTTACCTTTCTGGGGTTGGTAAGTGTTATGGATAACTGAAAATTGCTTGCCATTTCGAAGCGATTTAATCCATTCTATATTGAGATCAGTTAAATCATTATCCATAACAATAATACGCCTTGCATTGTGAATTAACTTATATAAATTTTCTCGTGAACGTCCCGCTAAGCGAGTGTGGGCTTGGCTATTCACAGACACCGCCTCATCGAGCCATAAGTCATATGGTATTGGAAGGCATTTACATTTTTTCTCACATTTGCATTTATTAATAATACGATGTAAACTTTCTATCTGACATACTACTCTTTGATGATCCGGGAGATTTATATCTTTGGTTTCAATATCACAATAGGATTTGAGATTAAGTCTTACTGTAACTGCGCTAGAATAAGTATGTCGTGTAGATAAGGCGAGCAAATTTATAGCTTCAGGAATAGTAAGATGCTCTAAAGTATAAGTCTTTCCCGTCTCCCAAGGCGAACCCACATATACATCACCCTCTTTAGGTAAAGGTTTTACATATTGTTCCTTATAAACTTCTGTCGCAGTGAGAGGGGAATCGCATTTAGCCCAACTCGGCATTTCTAAGAAGGGCTTTGGGAACTTAGGGCCTTTTACCTTATGTATAATGGGTGGTAGGGTACCATAGGTACCGTCAAGACACATATTATTTTTATTTTTTTGCTGGATTTTTTCTGCAATAGATGGGTCATTGAAAATTTTCCCTGATTCGTCACGATTTTGCTGGAAGCATTTCACAATGAACGAACCATCATAACGCACGCGACCGAACCACCGCTGATCCTTGTCATGTGTGCGTTTACAAATTGGACATTCTAGATATGTTTTCCGATTAAAGTATACGAAATACTGAGAATCTTTTTCTTCGATATCCCACCCTCCAAGATAATCAGAATATTTTTGCAGAACTAGATTAGCATATTTTTTTAGTGAATCTTGGCCAACGATTATTTTTTTCTGATTTATTTTCTCTACACTAAGTATGCGAGGACGTACTTCTAAATTCATATTAATTGGTGGTTGAACTCGGCTGTCATTGAGATCACTCCATCCATTATCTAGTGAGAATTGAAGTATGCGCTTCACACGGTCTTTTTTTGCTGAACCAATTAAGCGGAGACAGAAGTTTCGTCCAGGTAAGCCCTTATCAATAAACTTTCCATATTTTTCTCCGGTTAATTTATACACTAATTCTGTAAATTCTTTGAGCTCCTGATAATCAACAAGAAGAGTTGGAGCGTATAGAAGGTGATAACTGCATTTACTATCATCAGATGATGTCATAATTACCAATCCTTTAATAATTTCTTCCCAACTACAATCAAGAATTCGATACAATGCTCTTACAAATGAACAACAAATGTTGAAAAACACATTTTTAGTATTAACGTTTTCAGCTTCCATTTTTTCTTTAGATGCGTCAATATCAATCACAGCTCTTAAAGGCCGTTGCCCGTTAATACATTCATGAATTCCAGGTAATCCATATATCTCAAATATGTCATCTATGACAGAAAACTTTGGTGCTTGTTTATCTTTTTGGTCAATTTGGATAATCAATCTATTGGTTAACTCCTCCCGTGTATATGCATCGAGTAGACTAATTCCTTCTTTTGCCTCATCATTAGGTAAGAGATAATCCCATAAATGTATATCGTCTAATGATCCTTTATTGTTTGACATATCTCTGGCAGGCGAAGAAACGATTTTACAGATTTTATTCATCACATCTTTTTTGGTAAATTTATCATCGAATCTTTCTTGCCGTTTAGGATATGTGGGACTCGCTTGCTCTATAAGAGATGTCGTATTAAACACCTGTTCTTTTACTTTAGGGGGTCGGGGTATTTGAGGCTTAATAGTATTAGTTTCATTATCTGATTCGTAATCGGAACCATAGTCACTGCAATTCTCCGATCCACATTCAGATGTATTATCACTATAGACATCTGAGTCACTTGAATAGTCATCGGTTTCCCTGCCCCCGTACCCGATCACTTGTGCGTTTTGTTTGCTCATTTTTTATTTGTATGTATCAATCTTTGTTCTATTATATTATTTCAAAATAGTTTGGAAAAGTTTAAATTAATTTTTTCGGTCAGTACACAGTGGTATGCATTGAGTTTTAGTGAGATGAATGAAGAGAATTGCGATCTCGATTAGTGAATACTTTGGGTATATAAGTTCGGAAATATATTATAAGAAAAATGGGAGTTATATACCCATTTTGATAGTATGTGCTCAGGGTATATAACTTCAGTAATAATATATAAGAAAAATGGGAGTTATATACCCATTTCGATATATGTTTTGGGGTAGGTGATCGGGTGTAGTAATCTGCGGTAATATATATAAGAAAAATGGCAGAACACTACACTTTAATGGTATGTCTTCGAGTGTATAAGTTCAGTAATATTATATAAGAAAAAATGAAGTTATATACCCATCTGACGATATGTTTTCGGGGTAGCTAACTTCAGTAATATTATATAAGAAAAAATGAAGAAGGCTACACTTTTTAATGTATGTGGTCGGATATATTTTCAGGATAGGTAACATACACCCGCCTTCTCACATATATAGTCGAAGCTAACCCACCTTCGAGATAGCTTTTCCTAAAGTGCTACATAAAGTCCATCATTATTGACGTCCATAACGATAGTCACGTTTGTTACATCTTGAAAGCTGAATGTTGGGGGTGCGCCCTAGGATGGATTTTTTATTAGGACACGAACAGATCCATTTTAAACGCATTCTAGGGTAGTTAACATAAGTGATTACATTTTGATAGCGTAGCTGACATACCCGATAGTATTAATTGATACCATTTACGTGTCATAGGTCACATACATGTTCAGATAGCATATATGTAATATACCCGATAGCATAACCAGATAGCATGTATATAACACACTAGATAGCATATACTCTGGCTATATGCCTCCACAAATGACGCACAAAATGTATTTGACCCATCAAACTCGCGATGAAGCTAAGCCGGTAGCATAACCTACCTCAGTTATTTTATTGGAATGGAAATCAGATGGGAACAATAAGCCAGCATGTGATATCAAATGACGTATAAAATATGTTTGACCCATCAAACTCACGACGATGCCAACGCGGTTGCATAACCTAACGCTCTCAGATGACGAGGCAAATGCAAATCACACGTCATCTGATAAGCAGACTATAAACATCCCATCTTTGACGAGGCAAATGCAAAATGCACGTCATTCGAATGACGAGGCAAAATCAAAATGGCCATCATTCTCGGGTGGTTTATAGTCCGCACTAAGTGGGATACTTGGAGTCTGTACAGACTCCAAGTATCCCACTAAAAGTCAAATTAAAATTTTTGAAAAAGTCACACTTGGAGCTATTTTAAGTTGACATGTTTTAACACATCTTGGGAACTTAGAAAATGTTGTTCCATTTATTCTCAAATGTATATAAATTTTCATAATTATTGGTCGGAGAATTAATACAAAATGTAAAAAAAATCATAATGAATTTCATCAACAATTTGCATAATATTTTACATAATAAATCTTTATTAAATTTACATCAAAAGTACCAAAAATTATAAATATTTCATTCATTTATTCAATATTTTGTTGGGTTTCCTTTTGAATCAATTACAGCTTAAACCTTTCAAGGTATGCTGTCTACTAATTTTTGCAAATAATCATGATCAAGATTAGTCTACTCATCCATTAAATAAGAAGCCAATTAATTTGTACTTTTTGGAAGAGGAGCAATGTTAGTTCAACCTTAAATGCTTTTATTGCACGAGTTACTTGTGACTGAGAATGATTGAGTGCATCAGCAATGTCATGAGTGTTTTCATCTGCTTCCCAACATCCAATTATTCAAAGTCTGTTAATTGAGACACAATGTTTTAATTAAAATAACAAGATGAAAGTTTAATCTCTTTTTTTTAAAAAAAAAGAAAATTTGTTTTGGTTAGATATTTCAGCCACAATTGCCATTTAAAATTTGTTCACACATAACACTAATCATCTTGCATATTACAATTTTTTTTATGTTTTGTATTAATTCTCCATGAATATCCCACCAATAATTATGAAATTTAATTAACAGTCACAGGACATTTCCCACCGATCTATAGGAGGTTGTAAAACATAGTAAAATTTGGATGATCTGCATCATAGTAAAATTCGAATTTACATAGTAA